GATGTGCAGTAAAGCTTCGGAATTTTGATTTTGCCCCGGGGGGTCAAATGGGGGTCGAAAAATGATGTTTTTTATGCAAAAAGCCCCGTCTTCCCTGAACTCCTCTTACATTTTACACAGTAGCCTAAACATCTTTTGGGAGATGGTTGGTGGTGTCATGTAGATGTGCAGTAAGGTTTCCGAATTTTGATTTTGCCCCGGGGGGTCAAATGGGGGTCGAAAAATGACGTTTTTTATGCAAAAAGCCCCGTCTTCCCTGAACTCCTCTTACATTTTACACAGTAGCCTAATCATCTTTTGGGAGATGGTTGGTGGTGTCATGTAGATGTACAGTAAGGTTTTGGAATGTTGATTTTGCCCCGGGGGGAGTAATGGTGTCAAAAAATGATATTTTAAAAAGTGAGGTCAAGGTCAAAGGAAAATTCAAGGTCAAAATAAGTTGACGTATTAATAGCTCTTAGCAGTATGTATCAGCATATGAAGTTTGATAAATATATCTTGAATTGTTTATTCAAAACTGGTCTAGACATTAATTTTAGAAAAGTGAGGTCAAGGTCACAGGAAAGGTCAAGGTAAAAAAGAGTGAAGCATCGTAAAGCTTACATCAGTATGTATCATCATGTGAAGTTTCATTACACAACTTGAATGGTTTCTTTAAAATAAAGCTAAACACTAATTTAAAGAAAAGTTAAGTGAAGGTCAAAGGAAAAGTCAAAGTCAAAAATTATTGCTGCAGTTGGATATTTACAACTATGCATCAACATATGAACTTTGATAAAAATATCTAGAAAGTTTCTTTGAGCCCGATGGAAAGACAGATGGAAGGGTGGAGGACGGACATGACAAAAATTATACATGTATTCCTAATCATGGTGTGGCATAAAAAACTTGAATCTACATTATATGAGCATGTTTCCATCTATCAAGATTATACAAGCAAATTCAAAGAATTGTGGTCCTCTGCTTTCTGTGTTTTAGTGAATGAGATACCATAATTTATGGCAGATTGTGTGTCAAATATGCACCCCTATCATATATCAATTTTTGAAAATTGGGTCAAAGGGGAAAAATCATAGCATGCTCTGAAACATTTTGTTGCAGGTAATGTACATGTCAAATATGAAAGTCCTATCTCTTTTGAATCAAAAGTTATATATACAATATAATATTTTTGAAAAGTAGGTTAAACTTCTAGGTCAAGGTCACAGAGTCAAAAGTCATGATATATTTAGAAAAGTTTTTTCACATGTAATAAACATGTATAATTTGAATGCCCTTTCTTTTCTCTTTCAAAATGATCAATTTAAAATGTTATTTTTTGGAAAGTAGGTAAAACTTTAAGGTCAAGGTCTCACTTGGGTTAAAAAATCATAGTATATTTAGAAAGTTTTGTGGTAATGTGCATGTGAAATATGAAAGCACTATCTCTTATCATTCAAAAGTTATGACCAAGGTTAAATTTATTGTGACAGATGCACATACTAGCTGTCAATAAGATGGACAGACTGACAGTCAAATGAGATTTAGTGTCCCCTCCCTTTCCCCAAAATGGGGGACAAGAATGCCCTTGCTGTTCTTGAGAAGAAGATTTATGATGGAAAAAATCCCCTGCATATTTCTTAACGCAAATCAATATTGTGTTTTTATGTCATTTTGTTTGTTGTTAAACATCCCTCTCAGGAATTTTTCACTCATATGGAGACACCACCATTTGAAAAATAATGAGGACAAGTTAGATTTGAGGTCAACATTCATTTTAGGAGTTTTCAACCATTAAGACGTAAAGAAATATTAACTCGATCCTTCCCCTCACCCCTTCCCAGACCCCTGTTTGTTCATGTATGCAAAAAAAAAATGTTTATACAAATAGTTATACAAATGAATGATTCTCATTCCTAATTCTAGGAAGACATGTTGACACAAATTCATGAATAAAATGTCAAGTAATCTTATCATTGATGCACTTTTATTTAATTTAATGCAGTCATATTGTGAACATTTCCAGCTCATTAGGAGAATGGGGATGACCTCTAGGGGTTCATAACCTTTATACCATTAAATTTACATAACATAATAACACAAGAAACAATATTATGTATAGTCAAATGGAAAAAGTTTCCTACTATTTAAGAGTCACATGATCATTTGTTATTACAGGGACAGGGAAGTGGATTGGGAGATCGCCCCCCTCAACACCCCCCCCCTTTCCCCCCGGAATTTGCAGGACTATAATATATACTGGAGGAAATAAAAATGACTTTGGATGCCCTAAGTGTCCCTCCACCCTAGAAAACAGACCAAACCATAACTTCTTTTTTTTTCTTGCTTCTCAGGAAATTCTGGTCTGGAACCCCCCCCCCCCTCCCTCCCAGAAAAAAAATTCTGGATCTTGTAACTGAATGTAACGTTGATAACGGGGGATAACTCTTCAGAATGTGAAATTCGTCTATTGTAGCATCGGATGACCTTTGATCCTTTAAACTTTAACCTAACCGTTTGCATTTCAGACTATTTTACCCAAATCTATACCAAAACTTGTACTTACCGATTGTTATTATTTAGGCCCTGTCATCTTCATGAAATATAATCCAGTTAAAACACAAAATGAAATAATTCCTACCGACATATATGCAAATATGCACACTAGTATCCTACTGCACGCGTGCAGTGAAATCTAAAATGATAATGCCAATGGTAAAACTAGTACTTAAGTTGGGTACGTGACGCAAGCCCAATGTGATGCAGGTGTTCAGATACATGTATAGTGCAAGAACAAATTGAAAATTATCATTTACAAAAGATGTTTTATTTTAGCTTTGAATTAAGAATATGAAATACCTATAAAATGGAGGCCCATGGGTCACATGGTCACTAGCTGCAGATCTGTAGCGTTATGGTTTTATATATTAGTCTTTGACTGCAGATCCTGTAATGCAAAAAAGGTGCAATTTACGCAATATTTTTTGCGCACTTCTGGGGAGAATTTCTCCACTTTCCAGCATCGGTCAACTTACTACCTTTCACTCCCTAATTCTAGGCACATTATTTAATCAGTCTGTATATTTTATCCATCTCTAAACCCCTTATAGTCGTCTCTACTCGAGATAAACTCGCTTGATTAAAATTATTTGTTAGATTGCTGAAAATTCACATCAAGCGAGTTTATTGCCTGTAGAGATTACTATAAATGGCTTGGAGGTGGACAAAATATACATATTGGCCAGCGAATGTGTCTAAAATTAGGGAGTGAAAGGTAGTTGATTGACTAATGCTAGAAAGTGGAGAAATTCTGCCCAAAAGTGCTCAAAAAAATATTGCGCGTAAATTGCACCTTTTTTGCATATGGGGATCTGTAGCGTTATGATCAAAGACAAATATATAAAACCAGATCTGCAGCTACATGGTCACCTGAGCATATTATGCTCAATTTGATGAATACATGTATTATGTAAATTATTGAATTATATTGACTTTTTCCTTGGTAAAGCCCAATATGAAGAAGTGTGCATTTAGAGGCAAACACCTTAGTGCGGGTATTACTGTCTCATGACAGCATCTAGTTGTGTACTGCAATAGATTCTACAAATTCTTTATACTTCCTTTTCTGAAAAAAATGTTCTTACCAAACATTAAGATCAAACTTCCCGAGGTGGCCAAATCTATAGTCGCCTTTTTCGCCGTTTGGCCATCGCACCTTTTAAAGAACGAAGACAAATAACATTCTGTTTCATTTTGAACTTTGGTTTCAGAGTAAAGTGGAATTTTTATCGATGTAGAGAGAAACTTACATGAACCCTTCCTGACTTTCTGACTCTGTAAACGGATCCAATACTTCCCTCTCCGCCATCTTGATTTCCCCATTCCCAATCAGGACCTAGGAATGGAAATAATTACATATCTACCAAAAAACATCTTTTATTAAAGATTCTATATTAAATTCAATTCAGTGATTAAGCCGTGCTAACTTCCCTAAAATGCAAAAAAAAATTTAAAGGACATTACAACTAGTTACTATTAGAAATCTAAAATTTCAATCTGATGGAAACGTTAAATTAGAAAATCCCAATGCCACAATGTAGTTATAAATGATAAATCAAAAGTTTTTATTATACTGTAAAAGACGTTACATACAAGGCATTGCTTTCTTTGAACAGCTGTAAGAGTGGGCACTGAGTTGCCTAATACATGTACCCTAATGCAGTTGTTAAAACACCTTTAACAGGAAATATATGTATTATAACACAGTTATTGAAAATGGGAAACACTGTTTAAATGTGTGTACTTTTTGAGTTTCTTTTGCTTTACCTCTGGTTACTAAACATCCGGGTGCAATAAGGTTAGTATCAAGAATCCTAGGATCAGTGCAGACAATGACTTCATATATATTGTTAGCAACATCATAACGATAGTAGTTCTTTTCACCTGCATCCCACTCAACCATTAATCGACCTTCAAAAAAGTCACATACAAGCACATCTTTTAAATTAATGTACATGTAATAATACACAATAGAGTAATTATTATCTGCTTGGCTTGCAAATGGCTAAAATTCGCTTTGGTTTCAGTTTATTAAGGTTTCATAAAGGATGTGTTTGATTCTTCCCCAACGATAAAATTTATGATTCCATTATATAGCTACCATCCAAAGAATGCCCAATGACTGTGCCAGGACCATTGCTATCTTGGTTCCCCCAGTGCCAATGTGGTCCTCTTTTAACCCTTGTACCAAGACAAGGCAGAAGTGGATTTCTCTCGTGATAATAACCATCTTCATTATCATCTTCAAACTGAGCGACAATCTCTTCTACCGAGACAAAGGCAGTCCTTTTCTTGCAAATATCTACGATATCCTCCTGGAAACCATAGATTATTCTGTAATCTTTAAATTTGCAATTCAATACAATGATAAAATTATTCAAGCTTTGTTTCTGATTAATTGATTCATTGTATGTAGCTTTACGTCCAATTAGAGATTTTTTCACTCATGCAGAGGCATGCGG